CATCCCCGTCCTTCTCCTCCTCCCACTACCCCTCCTCCTCCTCCTCCTCCTCCTCCTCCTCCTCCTCCTCCCCCTCCTCCCACCCCTCCTCCTCCTCCTCCTCCTCCCCTTCCTCCAGGACCTCCTCCCCCGCCGCGCCACAGCGGCCGGCGCCCCGCGGCGCCCGCGCGAGGAGCGCGGCGCGGGCGCGGGGTCGCGGGCGCCGCCGCCGCCGCCGCGCGATCCTACGGGCTGAAGCGCTGCGGCAGGCGGCGCGGGCGAGGCCCACGGCTCCGCCAGGCGGCGGGGGCGCCGCCGCAGCAGCGCGGGAGGGCGAGCCGCGCGCGGGCGGGGAGCCCCATGCGGGGAGGGCGCCCAGGCAAGGGGGGGGCCCTGGAGGGGCGAGGAGGGAGGCTCGGGCGGCTGCTCGGACGTGTCTTCGTCGGTCCCCGTCGGCCTGCGCAGAAGAGGAAACAGTGGCATTGACATGAACTGTTGGCGCTCCGCGCGGACTTCTCGGATCTGCGCTGGACCCCCCTCCCTGGCGCGTTCCGCGCGCCAGGGGCGGCGCCAGAGGCGAGGCCGGTGGGGGCCCAACGCGGATCCAAGAAGTCCGTGCTCTTGCGTCCTGTGTTTGCCGACCCAGGCCATCTACATTCCTGTGGCATCGTGGCCCTCGGAAGGGTCTCGTGTCCTCTCGCGTGTCCTCTCCAGTCAACCTCGACAGTAGGGAGCTTCCTCTTCCATCCCCCCTCTTCCCCTTCGGGGAGGGGCTTATCACTGTTCCCTGTGAATGTGCACCCTCTCCCCCATGCGACCGGCGGCCAACCAGGAGCCATGCTCCCCTGCTCCCTCCCGCCCCGCACCATCTCTGCCGAAGAAACATACAAAACGTATGCTGCCTCCAAATTCGGAGCATGCGCAGCCAACCCGATGCGGGACCCCCCCCACCATCCCTGTCAAAACAAGCAAAACAAAGTACACTTTGGGGCAAGGTCTGGATTCATGTTCGTGAGGCCCGCGAGCAGTTCGTTTTGTTGTTTGACAGGGACGGCGGGGGTGTCAGCGTATTGCCTGCTGCGCGCAGGGCTACCATCCCTGACAAAACACAATACAAAATGCACCTCGCGGCCAAATCTGGATCATGCGCGGCCACCCCGCGATCATTGTCAAGTGGTTTTTGAAAGGGACGGCGGGGGTGGTGGCGTATCGCCAGCTGTGCGCAGGCCCACCAAACACAATGATGGGCATTGGTTATCGACAACGATGGTGGGGGCCGACATGTGTCCCGATGTGTGCTGTCACGTGCGCAGGCGCACCTGACACACTCTGCACGTGCCCCGAACGTGGCGCACCTGGCGCGGCTGGAGCATGCGGCACACCTGGCGCACGCGGAGGCACGTAGCGCATCTGGCGCACCAGGCGTGCCTGGCACGCTCGGGCCCCAGGGGTGCCTGGCGCGCGTGGCGCGCCTGGCACGCGTGGCGCACCTCGCCCCAGCGTCGCGCACATGGGCTCGGTTTTGCTTCCGAGTAGCTGTCCATCCAAAAGACGACCGCTGAACATGCTTAGGCTCTGGTGTTACTTCTGTGTTGGGAGGGCGGGTGGGAGTGAGCTGGACGGCTTGCTATCTGGAGGGTGTCTTGACCCCTCCCCCTACCCCCTCCCCTGGACCTGGACGGGGGGTTCCGCGTGTAATTGGAGCGTCCAAGATGGCCCAAGACGGCTCCAAGATCCTGAGATCCTGGCGTCGTAATTTCTCGCAGCGGGGGCGGGTGGTAACGGGGGGTCACCCAAACGGGCGGTGAAGAGAAGGGCCTCAAAGGGACACTTCTTTAGGGCCCCTCTTGGGAGCCAGCGGGGGCCCAAGAGGGTCCCAAAAGAGGCCCCAAAGTACCCCTTTTAGGGCTCTTGTCTTCACCCCCCATTTGGGCCACCCCCCATTACCACCCGCCCGAGCAGCGGGCGATGTTTCCTGATTTCCAGCCGAGGGACCCTCATAAGTCAATCTGGCTCGAAACATGCCTCATGAAGGAGGGGTCCAGGGTTCCGTTGGCGCTTTCTCGCGAAGTCGCAACCGTCTCTACAGGTCCCAGACATGTTCGCGTCGTGGAAAAATCACGACGGGGCACGGTTTTTGGCTGGTTTCGGCCTCCGGGGGCCCTCGCCAGGCCCCCGGGACCGTCAGAGAACAACGCGAGGTGAGGAGCCGGCCCTGGGGAAGGTCGGGACTTCCGTTGGCCCCATACAGAGAAGGCCAGCCTACAGGAAACCTTCCTCGAGAAGCCCGACCCCGAGACCCCATGGATTCTCGGTGTGGAATCGTCACGCCTTCCATAGCAAAACCATCGAAACCCAAGAAACCCAGGGCACCCTGGAGGCAAGCAGGGTGCTTCTCGGCACGGGCCCCCACTGCGTAGAACAACTCAAGACATCGCATGTCTGGGTTCGAACGACGCCAAACATTTGGGCGGCCAGCTCGGTGCACCGCTTCAGCGCGTGCTGGCGCGCGCGGTGCAGCGCGGCTGGCGTCGCCCAAGCCGATTTGGATTAAGGCCCAGCGGAGAGCGGAGTCCATCCCTGAGACCCTGGCGTCTCCACTTTTTTGGAGCCGGCCGTTTCCGCCCAGTGTCGGGACCCAGGACGATCACAGATCGATCCAGCTCGAATCCTGGCGTGCAAAAAAAAGATGGGGTCCAGGGCTCCACTGGCGATTGTTACCTCAATTTTTTCGCGCCGTCGGATATCAAGGATGTGAAACCCAGTGTTCGCCGACGAGGGGAACCCGCTGTCCACGGGATTGGAATCGTCGCGACCGTTTAGCAGCAGGGGTTGCCCAGTCTCGAGGACCCCACAGAAGGGAGGCAGGCGGTGGGGCAAAGAAGACCGATACCGCCACACTCCGGACTTCACACCAGAACTCCGAGGAGAATCCAGCCGTGGCGACGAGCGATCTCTAGGACGAGCAGCGGCATCGGTGCCCAGACATGCGACGTCTTGATTGTTTGAATGCCAGGCTCCCAGAAACAAGTCCCGAACTTTTTGCCAGGGCCCGCTTCTTATCCCGAAACTTTGGTCGACGATGCCCGGGCCAGGCGAAGGTTCCAGAAGGCCAAAGGCAGCCAAGAGCGGTGCGGGGCAGGCTCGAGCATGCACACGGCCGCGCCTCGCAGGAGAGGCTCCAGAAACGCTGAGCCAAAACTGCGAGGGTGCGCCGCTGGATCTCCCCGGGGGGGGGGGGGGGGCGTTAGGACCCCCCCCCCCACCCCCCCCTTCCCCGATCCGTCGTCGGGGACCCCCCCCCTCCCCCCCTTCCCCGATCCGTCGTCGGGGACCCCCCTCCCCCCTCCCCCCCTTTCCCCGACCCGTCGTCGGGGACCCCCCCCCCTCCCTCCCTTTCAAAAAGGGGGGGGTCCGAACCCCCCCCCCCCCCCCTTTCGCCACGCCGCCCCCTGACGCCGGAACCCGACCCCCGCCACCCCTACCCCTAGTCCTCACCCGAACCCAAACCCTGAATCCGAACCCTAACCACGAACCCCAGCCCCAAAGGGAGTAACGAGGGGCCCCCTACCCCCTAACCACTAACCCCAGCCCCCTACTCACTACCCCCTACTCACTACTCGCTATTCGCTACTCACGACTCACTACTCACTATCCACTACTCACTACCCACCACCCACTACTCGCTACTCACTACTCCCTACTCACTACTCCCTCCTCCCTACTCACTACTCACTCCTCACTACCCACTACTCACTACTAACTACTCAATAAGCACTACTCACTACTCCCTATTCACTATTCAATAATCACTACTCATTACCCACTACCCACTATCCACTACTCACTACTCACTACTAACTACTCATTGCCCACAAATCACTACTCACTACCCACTACTCGCTACTCGCTACTCCCTACTCCCTACACAATACTGACTACACAGTACTCAGTACTCGCTACTCGCTACTCCCATACTCGCTACTCAATACTCACTACTTACTCCCCGCTACTGACTATTCACTACTCACTATTTACTACTCCCTACTCACTAGTCACTACATAGTCTCTAGTCACTAATCACAACTCACTAGTCACTAGTCACTAGTCACTACTCACTACCCACTACTCACCAATCGCTACTCACTACCCACTATTCGCTACCCACTTCTCACTGTTCACTGCTCACTACTCCCTACTCCCTACTCCCTATTCAGCACTCACTACTCACTACTCGCTACTCCCTACTCGTTACTCACTAATCACTACCCACTACTCACTACTACACTCTACTCACCACTCACTACTCTCTACTCGCTACTCACTACGCACTACCCACCGCCACTACCCACTACATTCTATTCACTATTCATCACTACTCACTACGCACTACATACTACTCAGTACTCACTACTCACTACTCACTATTCACTACTCACTACTCACTACTCGCTACTCACTACTCACTACTCACTACTCCCTACTCCCTACTCATTACGCACTACGCACCACCCACAACTCACTACTCACTAATCACTACTCGCCACCCATTACTCACTACCCACTACTCACTACCCAGTACTCATTACTCCCTACTCCCTACTCAGTACTCACTACTCGCTACTCGCTACTCGCTACGCACAACTCACTACTCGCCACTCACCACTCACTTATCAGTACACACTAATTACTCACTATTCACTAGTCACTACTCCCCACTTACTCCCTACTCCCTACTCGCCACTCACCACCCACTACTCATACTCACTACTCACTACTACTCACTACCCAATATTCACTACTCACTACGCACTAACTCACTACTCACTACTCACCAGTCCATACTCCCAACTCCGTACTCCCTACACGAGGGGGAGGGGGGTCCGAACCCCCCCCCCCTTTCCAGCGCCAAGGGGGATAGGGGGGGGGGTCCGGACCCGCCCCCCCGTCAAGGGAGGGAAGGGCGGGGGGGTTCGGGAACCCCCCTCCCCCCCCTAAGCGGGGGAGGGGGGGGGGGGTTCTGGACCCCCCCCCCTTGAAGAGGAGGGGGGGGGGTTCTGGACCCCCCCCCCTTTAGTGTATTCAGGGAGATCCACTGGCGCACCTTCCAAACAACTCCGCCGGCATCCGCCGGCCTTCCGCCGGCTTGCGCAGTTTCGGGAGCGGCCAAGAGGGGGGTGTCCAAGAGAGGGGGTGCAAATCATGACCGGCGGCACGTGCGCGGCCCAGCGGGGGGGGGCCATGGACGTAATGTAACAGGAAGAGGCGCCATGAGATCTGGGGAGATATCATGGCCCCCGCCATGATATCCACCCCACCTAGTCATCACCCCCCTGTTTTCCGCCCTTGGCAGTTGGAGCGGCCCCCGTTCTGCCTCCGCCGGTGTCCGCCAGCCTTCCGCCGCTCCGCCGGCGAAGAGGCAGCGACTCCGCGACGAGCCTCGAAGATCACGAGGGGCCCTGCCTGGAGCGCCCCCGCACCGTGCCCAGCGCCCTGTTCGCCCTCCTCCTCCTCCTCCTCCTCCTCCTCCTCCTCCTCCTCCTCCTCCTCCTCCTCCTCCTCCTCCTCCTCCTCCTGCTCCTGCTCCTCCTCCTCCTTCCTCCTCCCCCTCCTCCTCCTCCTCCTCCTCCCCCCTCGCCGTGCCGTGCCCGGCGAGGGCCCCCCGAGGCCGAAGACGGCCGAGTGCGGTGCGGTGCAGGCGCGCGTGCGCGAGCGGCCGCGCCTCACATCGTCATGTCCAGCGCCTTGTTCACCCTCCCACCATGGTCGAAGTACTTCGACTGCGCCATGTCCTCCTTCGGGCCGGAGGCCTGCTCCATGGCGAGCTGCTGCTCTGGATTGGGAGCCTCCAGCTTCGTCACGAAGTCGACGTAGTTGACATCGATGTGGTTGCCGAGGTTCAAGTACGCCTCGCACAACCCTGAGATCCTGGCGCCTCAATTTTTTCGAATCGGCCGTGTTCTCTGGGCTTCGGGCCCTGGGGCCCTCACAGATCGAGCTGGCTCGGGCTAGTGCTCCCGTCGTGATTTCTTACGATGGCTCAACTTGTTCGCGCCGTCGGATCTCAGAGCAGAGGACGCCTTGTATGCAACCGCACCCAACGAGGCCGACCTATCGAGGGCCTCGGTCTGGTGCACGCGCCCTGGTGGCCTGCTCCAGGAGGAGCTGTGCACCAGACGTGACTGCCACATGATGTGTTGGTGCATAGCTAGTGTCCTCTGGGGGGATTTAATCAAGTCTGTGACCCCTTGGGCTCTGTGGGACATCATTCCGAACAGACAGAGCACGCACGACAGCAACGTACCAAAGAGCCGTCACTGGACGCAAACGGACACCACACGCATCGCGAATGTTTGACACTTCTCCATCTGGGTACTCATAGAAATCACGACACCGATCACAGTCGCCTGCAGGAAATGATAGCCAGCGCAGACCCAAACACTGTGTCTCGTCCCATCTAAATGATGATGTCTACGTGATGCAACCCACGTGGTGCAATATGTGTGGAGCAATGTATTTGGTGCTATTGACTTTTTACGAACGAGTTGACAAATCCCACGCTCTTGCAAACATCCCACCCACCCATCCGCATCTTGGTTTGCAGAATCTATGTGGCGGCGGTTGGGCTGAGTGCTTGGCGTTGGCTGGTGCATCTCTGCGCGACCGACGCGGCGCGGCCGACGCGGCCGCGGTGGCGCTGACCGCTGAGCACTTCCCAGCGGGCACTTCATTGCGAGTCGGTGATTTGGGCGGACGCGGTATCCTGGCGACGCCGACAACGGTAGACACGATTATGAAAGTAGCGAAGGTGACGAAGGTGGCGATGACGACGGCAATGCCAATGACGGCGCCGATGTTGAGCACGCCCGCCGATCACGCTTACGATGCCCTCGCGTCGGGGTTGGAGGTTTTGGAAGGAATTCGACACGTGCGTGCGGCCGACGCGCGCGATTGGCCCGCGTGGTAATATTTGACACGGGTCAAGCCCCCCCCCAACACGCGAGCAAGGGCGTTCGAATGAGCTCGATACGCGGCGCGAAGAGGCCCGTGCAGCAGAAATCCCACCTGCCCTTTGGGCGACAGGTGGTCTAACAAGGGTTTCTTTCCTCTTCCATGACCCCCCTTCCCTTCGGGGAGGGGAACCCTACCCCTCCCCTCCCTGAGAGGTTTTTGGGAAGGGCCGCGAAGTGTCGGAGGTTCCTTGTTCGGCCCCTGGGAGGGCCAAGATGATCGTAGCCCCTGAGGGGGAGCACACATCGAGGACCCCCCCCCTCTGTTGACCGACCGCCTCGAAGATGGCCCCAAGAGGCCCTCCAGGGTTCCCAAGAGGCCCCCAAGAGAGTTCCAAGAGCGCCCCAAGAAGCCAAAAGAGGGTTCCAAGAGGCACCCAAGAGGCACCCAAGTCCCCGACAGGCCTCAGAGAGCCCAAGATGACCTCCAAGATGGCTCAGATAGCCCAGGCTGGCTCAAGATGGCTCTCTAGACCCTCCAAGCGGAACCCAGGACCGCTCCAAGACGACTCGAGATGGCCACGGAGACGCCCAAGCCTCCCTCATTGTTTGAGTATGCGTGTCTCCTCCTCCCCCCCCGTCAACTCTCACGGGCATCGTTTCTGGATGGGTTGGTGGGGGTATTTGTTTGATCTGCGGCCCGCAAGGAAGAGTCCAAAGGGCGTGTCAATCAGGCTGACTGGAGCACAGAGCCCAGAGCCAGATAATTCGTGCAACATGCAGAACAAATTGGGGAAAACGGGCAGACGGGCAGCCGCGCGTGGCGACGCTGCGCCAGCACAAGGCGCCAGGCGCCAAGCAGGGCGACGGAAGGACGCAGGGGGGGGGAAGAGCGAGGCGACGGAGGGACGAAAGAGGAAAGGGAAAAGCAGGTAGCCTCACTCACGGAGCACCAGGTGCTCGCCGGCGAGCCGACTCTGGTCCAAAGACAAGGACACCTCGTGACTCCTGAGGGGCAGCCGCCATCCTGAACTACGAGGATGCACGTTTGGTGGGGATACGCGACGAAAAAGATTGGAAAACCGATGGTGCCTTAAGATTCCGCATGAGCGTGAGCGCTGGATATGTTTGAAACCTGATGTTGCAAAACCGTACGTTTTATATGTTTTTGGAGAATTCGATTTTTCATTCCCTACGAAGCCGCAAGTTTTCAATGATTTCGGCACGCGCGCACGACGACGCGCGCGTGTGCACTCCGTCCCATTTGCAAGGAATTCGCGCGACAGCACGGGCGCAAGGGTGTTCGAACGATTTCGACACACGCGCTCGAGAAGTCGATCTGGAAATATGCTATATTTCCCCAATCAGAGCCTGCCTCTGTAGAGGTCCTAGCGGATTGAAGAGTAGGTGAGGTGTGCCGCCGATTCGGTGGCCAGGCCCGGGTGCCCCGGTGCCCGGGTGCCCGGGTGCCCGGGTTCTCCGCCGATTCAGTGGCCGGGCCCGGGTGCCTGGGTGCCCGGGTGCCCGGGTTCGCCGCCGATTCGGTGGCTGGGCCCGGGTGCCCAGATGCCCAGGTGCCCGGGTGCCCGGGTGACGGGCGCCCTGTGCCCGGGCGGGTGCCCGGGCGCTGGGTGCCCGGGTACCCGGGTGCCCGGTGCCCTGTAGCCCTATAGCCTGATAGCCCTATATCCCTATCGCCCTAAAGCCCTATAGCCCTATAACCCATAATAGCCAGATAAGCATATAGCCCATATAGCGCCCACGAGCCCATATAGCCCTGCATTCCTATGGCCCTACAGCCCTAAAAAAATTCTGATTTGTTTTTGTTTTCTGGTATCATTGTTCTAACCAAAAATGGTTGTCTTAAGAATTCGCAAGAGCGCGGGGGCGAACTTGTTTTGAAAATTAGCGTTGCCAAACAATGTGTTGTTTATATGTTTCCGGGGCATTCGTTTTGAAATCTTTGCGAAGCCGAATGTGTTCAAGGACTTCGGCACGCGCGCGACGACGCGCGCGCGTGCGCGCGCATTTCGCCCCATCTGTTGCAAAAGATTCTTGATAACATCTGACTGATGATGCACAGGGGCGCGCGCATTGCAGAGGATGCCGGGGGGGGTCGATGCCAGCTGTCCTGGCGCTGTACAAATTCACACTTACGATGGACGACGGGGCAAAAGTACAAACAAATAGCGATGCGAAAGGGTGGATCGTTAATTCCAGAGGGGGGGGGGGGGGGGCGAATAATCATGTAGAAAAGAATATATGTTATGTTCATAATGCGTTGAGCCCCACTGCGCGCGCAATAATCCCACCCACCCATCCGCAACTCAGTCTGCATAAGCCCATGCGGCGGCAATTTCGATGCATGTTCGGCGGTGGCTGGCTCTACGACCGCGCTAGCCCGCGCATGCTCGCGCGCGCAGCGGCCATCTAGTTTGGCGCGACCGACGCGGCCGCGGCGGCGCCGAACGCCGGGCATTTCTCCGCGGGCACTTCAGCGCGAGCCGGCGATTTGGACAGGCGCGGTATCATGGGAGCGTCGACAACGGCAGACACGAGGGTGATAGTAGCGATACTGGCGACGACGATGACACCGACGACGGCAAGGCCAGCGACGGCGCCGACGCTGGTCACGCCGGCGACATCGGCGGCGCCCTCGCGTCGGCGCTGAAGGTTTTGGAATGAATTCGACACGCGCGCGGAGGACGCGCGAGCGTGGCCCGCGCGGTATCATTCGACACAAATCGGGCCCCCCCGCCCCCCCCCCGCGCACGCCAGGGCGTTCGAATGATTTCGACACGCGGCGCGAGAGGCCCTCTGAGCAGTACTCGATGAAAATATTGGAAATCGGGTGGCTTTCCAGATCGGGCCCCCCGCCCCCCCCCCCCCCCGCGCACGCAAGGGCGCTCGAATGATTTCGACGCGCGGCGCGAGAGGCCCTCTGGGCAGAATTCAATGAAAATCTTGGAAATTCTGCGGCTCTCTAAATATTTCCCCGAAAAAGCGGGCGCAAATTCCTGTGCCGACACATCTCGCTGCGAAACCGTGCGATTTTACACGTTATCGGGGCATTTGAATGTGAAATCCGTTCGAAACCCACGGTTGCTGAAGGATTTCAGCGCGCGCGCGCGCGACGACGCGCGCGCGCTTCGCCCCGTTTTTTGCCGGGGGCTCCTGCGACCGCGCGCGCGAGGTGTTCGCGCGATTTCGACATGCGCGCGCGAGATGCCCGTCTGGTAGCCTCGCGCATCAACGCTGGAAAGCATGTAAATTGTCTCGAGGATGCACAAAGGCGCGGGCGCAAGCTTATGCGAATATTTCCATGACGAAACTACGCGTTTTCAAAACTGCTCGATCTAAAATCCCAGCGAGACCATGGTTTCCAAAAAGATTTTGGCACGCGCGCGACGACACGCGCGCGCGCATTTCGCCCCGCCTTTGCGCGAAAAAATGTGGGAAAGGATGATATTTGATCGACGAATGCGCGCGCGCGTTTCCTTGCGCGCTGGATGCGCAGGGGGCGCGACGCCAGCCTGCCCCGGATGGCATGAGCACATATTCTGGATGGGCGACGCGGCAGGACCACACGCACATTGCAACGCGAAAAAGGGAACCGATAATTCAGGGGGGCAGATTCTATTCAAAAATAAATTCACTTTGAAAAATTTGGAGTTGGCAACTCCACTGCTCGCGCAATCACCCCACCCACCCGCCCGCAACTTGGTTTGCGCGAGCCCATGCGGCGGCAATTTCGATGAATGTTCGGCGGTGGCTGGTGCATCTCCGCGGCCGCGCTAGCCCGCGCATGCCCGCGCGCACAGCGGCCAGCTAGTTTGGCGCGACCGACGCGGCCGCGGCGGCGCTGGCGACCTGGGCGGGCGCGGCCCCATGGAGATGTCGACAACGGTGGACACGAGAATTGCAATAGCGACGAAGCTGGCGACGATGACGATGACGACGGCAAGGCCAGTCACGGCGCCGACGCTGACCACGCCGACGAGGATGACGGCGTTCTCGCGTCGGCGATGAGGGCCCTGGAAGGAGTTCGACACGCGCGCGCCGCCGACGCGCGCGAGTGGCCCGCATGGAATCATCCGACAGGGATCGCGCCCCCCAGCACGCGTGCAAATGCGCGCAGGGCTTTTGTTCTGGAAGAAAAACGAATGATGCAAGACGATGTATTTTATATGTTTTCAAAACTTGATTTTGAAGTCCATGCAAAACCTTGAGATGTCGGGGGATTTCGGCACGCGCGCGCGACGACGCACGCGCGTGCACCTCGCCCTTTTCTCTCCAGGGAATCTCGCGACAACGCGCGGGCAAAGGCGCTCGAACGATTTCGACACGCGCGCTCGAAAGCAGACTTGGTAGCATTTGATGAACAGGTCGGGAATCGATCGCTTTCGCTGGAAAGGGCGCGGGCGCGAGCGCATGTTTTTTTGCTGCGAAAATTCCCAACGCGAAACCATGGGTTCTCTACTTCTTGTCGGGGCGCTCGACTCTGGAAACCAAATATTTCCCGAAAAGATCCGACACGCGCGCGCGACGACGCGCGCGCGCGCTCCGCTCCTTTTTACGAGAGGGGTTCCCGTGAGAATCGAGCGCGCGCGCAAAGCATTTGCTGCAGAAGATGAACGAGGGGGGGCCGGCGCGAGACTGCCCGGGACGGCGCGAACTCACATTTAGGACGGACGAGCGCGCAGAATAGCAAACAACAATTACCAACAACAACAAGCAACACAGAAAAAAAAGTTTTGTGCGGGGGGGAGGTAGATCCACATACCATTGTAATACGACTCTACGTGCTACGATGTGCAAGGTATGTTGCGTAATCTATGTGGTGCAATTTATGTAATGCAACCGGCGTGGAAGAACCAATGTGATGCGTGATACACGTGGTACCATGTTTGTGGGGCCGTTTATTGGTGTCCACTATACGTTGTCAACTCCACTGTTCGCGCAACCATCCGACACGCCCACGCGCAACTTGATCTGCAAAGCCGAAACGGCGGCGATAGCCATGACTGCTCGGCGCTGGCTGGAGCAACGCTGCGGCCGCGCTGGCGAGCGAGGGCTCGCGCACACAGCGGCCAACTAGTCAGGCGAGACCGCCGCAACCGCGGTGGCGCTGACCGCTGGGGGCCCCCTAACGCGTCTCGCAGACCGCGCTGGCGCGCGGGCACTTCCATGCGCGTCGGTGACTCAGGCGGGAATGGTATCATGGCGGCGTCGACAACGGCACACACGATGACCATTGTAGCAGTTCTGATGACGACGATGACTACGACGACGATGGAAAAAACAATGACGGCGCCGATGCCGATTACTCTGATGACGATGATGCTGTTCACGCGTCGATGATGGAGGTTGCGAAAAGAAAATCGACATGCGCGCGCGACCGACGCGCGCGAGTGGCCCGCATAGTATTATGAATTAGGTGGCAGAGATCGTTTCCCCAGCACGCACGCAAGGGCGTTCGAGTGATTTCAAAATACGCATGCGAGACGCACGTCAGGTCAGATGCGATCTAAAGTTTCAAACACCAGTTGCTTTCCTTAAGAGTCGAGAGAGCGAGATTGCAGACATGTGTGGAAAAAAACCATGTTGATGAACGATGTATTCCTGCTTGTTCTACAAAATCGATGTTGAGATCCGTTCGAATATCTATATATATACACACAAACATGAAAGTACATATATACATATACATATACATATGCATATACATATACATATACACAAACTTACACACATATCTACATACAAACATACATGTACACATACATGCGCGCGTGCATTCAAGCGTGCATACATACATGTGTAAGATGCTTACACGTACTAGAACTATGGCTAATATATAATTAATGTGTGCCGTATATCAAAAAAGTGTTTTCTTATGTGCTTACAAGCCGAAGAGAAGGACCCCCCCACCCCCAACAAAAAAAAAAAACGGCATGTGATTGCGCGTCATGCTATCGCGCGCGCGTGTACACCTCGTCCCATATGTTGCAAAAGGGTTTTCGGAAATGGATGCGCTCTGGTAAACGAGACTGCGGGCATATTGTCTCCAGCGCAAGGGATGAAGGTCGATCGATACCAGTTGATCTGGGGTCATATACTTTCATACTTACAAAGAACAATGGGGCAAAATCATATGCAGAATTGTACATGGCAAGGGGGAGTCTGGCCTCGGGAGCGTGGCGGCTCCCTTCTTCTTTTAGCAAAGGCGAATCGTTGTGGAGCAATCGTTGTGGTGCAATATATGTGGTGCAATCGGCCTTGTGCAATCGAAATTGCGCCATCTACGATGTGCATCATACGTGGTGCAATGTATGTTGTGCAATGTGTGACATGCACCCTACGTGGTGCAATATATTTGGACCTATCAACGTTGTGCAACATACGTGGTGCAATCCACGCGGATGAATCTACGTTATGCATTCCATGCAGTGCAATGTTCGTGATGCAATATGTGGTGCAATCGATGTGGTGCAACATATGCAGTTGTGCTATATTGTGCAATCTACATTGTGCCACTTTCTTATGTGCAACGCATGCACTGCGCAGCAGTCGCTAGTGGTGGCGGTCAAAAGGCGCGCCGCAACCGCGTTTTTTTGACACCTGGGGGGGTAGAATCTAGTTTCTTCCAAACAGGAAAACATATGTGGTGTAATCTTCGTTCTGGGCGATGTAAAAGCACGCCGCAGGCGCAAAATTTGTCACGCAGTCTATGTGGCGCAACCTGGCGGCAGCGACGAGGCGGAGGCGGGGCGGCGACGGCGACACAGCCGCCAGGCCGAAGACGCGGCCCAGACGACCGTCGCCGACGAAGCGGCGACGGGGCGGCGACGGCGACAACATAGCCGGCAGACCGAAGACGCGGCCCACTTCCTGAGAGCAGAAGTAGGAACCCCTAAGTGCAATCACTGTTTCGAGAATGATCGTCGCTATTATTTTTGGCCGCGGTGTAATCGGAAGTTGAAACCCTCCGTCTTGAACAACCGCAAGAAAATAACACAGTCAGTGTCGACTAAGTAATGTGGCCGTGAGGTGATAGTGTCCTGAAAACTACATTTCCTCTGTGATCTGGCCTTTCGAGACTTCCCCGCACAGCTCATCCCGACTGGCCTGCTGAAGAAACTGAAAGGACTTTCGGTCGCCGGAAACATACTCGCTCTACATGCTTCGACTGATTCAATTTACTGCCAAGAAATACACTCGAAAAGATCCTCGGGCCAAGAGGCGGCTGCACATTGCTCGACGAGCAATCGGGCATGTCAGCGCCTCGCAAAGGAGATTCACCTCGGGCTGGCTGAGCTCGAAGCCGAGCATCCCCAGGACCTGATGGCGTGGTAGGGAATATGTAAAGCAACAAGTAAGATATCTCAGGAACATGTCTGGCAAGCCGTCCGCCCCTGGCAGCCTGGACGGTACGTGATCCGAAACACCTGCGAACTGGCACGCAGTGCACCCCCGACTCGGCCTGTGCCAAGGGCGAAGAAAACCGCCAGCCGACCTGCATGGCCAACGCGTCGCGGAAATCAAGGTTTGCTCATTTAAACAGATAGTACTTAATCATTGTGCCCCCTTCTGTGATTCCCTCCCTGGTCTGTAACAATCCGTGTGGCTTATGAAGGTCACGAAATGATCTTCACCTCATACATCCGATCGCAAAATACTGGAGACTCTCGCTCCCAAAGCCATGACCCACACCGCAACGCACAATTGCTTTCAAGGCAGATCTCACTGCAATCTACGATGGCTTCTCGATCCCAGGGCCACGATCTATCGACACATATTGTAGCCTTGCGCCCCGATGGCTACGATCCCTATGACCTGAGAGAGAGAGGGCACAGACGGCCATACTTAGGGGAACGGACAATGACACACACACACACACACACACATATATATATATATATATATATATATAAAAAGGCACGCGCGGACTTCTCGGATCGGCGCTGGACCCCCCTCCCTGGCGCGCGGAGCGCGCCAGAGGCGGCGCCGGAGGCGCCGCCAGGGGGCCCCACTGCTGATCCGAGAAATCAGCGCGGACCTCCGAGTTTTGATGTTTATGTCATTCTTCGTTCCCCAAAGGAAGAAGAGGAAAAGGAGTAGGACGACACGGCGCAGACGAGCGTGCCAAGTTTTTTTACGGCTCCCCCAAGCCCTCCTCCTCCTCCTCCTCTGCCTCTGCCTCCTCCTCCTCCTCCTCCTCCTCCTCCTCCTCCTCCTCCTCCTCCCCCTCCTCCTCCTCCTCCTCCTCCTCCTCGGGGGCTCGGAACGGGAATGGGGGTGGTGCGCACCCCGAATCGTGGCCCGGACGCGCGGCCCCCGGGTTTGGGGCCTCCACAGGGCGGCCTCCGCGTGCGGCCTCCCCGCGCGGCCTCCCCGCGCGCGTGCGGCTGCCCCGTGGTCCCCGGAGGGCGGCCCCCCGGAGTCCTCTCCGCCCTGCCTCGCGCGGCCGTCCCGCCTCGTGCGCACTGCCGCGTGCGGCCACCCTGCCTCGCGAGCCCAGGAAAAGGGGGGGGGGGGGCCTGCAGGGGCGAGTGGTGGAGGCCCGGACGCCTTCTCGGACGTGCCTTCGTCGGTCCCCCTCGGCCTCCTCAGAAGAAGAAGAAGAACGCCATAAACAGAAACCCCCAGCGGCGCCTCCGGCGCCGCCCCTGGCGCGCTCCGCGCGCCAGGGAGGGCGGTCCAGCGCCGATACGAGAAGTCCGCGCGGACCTCCGAGTTTTTCATGTTTATGTCATTGTTCGTTCCCTCATCACTGCCCGCGGACGCAGAAAACTACATGATGCTGCTGTTTGCTGATATTGCTACGTCGTCATCCGCCTCCGCTTCGCACCCTCCCCTCCCCTCCCCTTCCCTCGGAACTTGCATTGTGCAAGCGCACAGGCTACCGTGCGAATGGTATGCGTTCACCGGACCAGCCTTCACAGAGTGTAGATCTGCAGCGTTGTCGCACTGTCCTGCTGCTAGTTTGTGTTTATGGAGTATGGGAGCCCACACTGCGCGTGTCGACTTCGTGCCGTTGCACCGTTGCCTCGCGCCTGGCTGAACTTGACTTGACGCTAGTGCTTGACGCTCCCAGGTCAGATCCACTTCGAGTCCCCTGGGCCCCAAGAGACCGCCAAGTTGGCGGCTGCTTCGCGCGGCTTCGGCAGGCCATAAATTCGATTAGGCTGGGGTCTATCCTCTCGGTGTCACGCCCTCCTCCCTCAAGAACTCGTGCGTGGTGCACTTGCCGCGGTGCAATTTCCATGGTGTAGCATACGTGCTGCAATCTCCGCGGTGCAGTTTGTGGTACGTAGGCGCTGCCCGTGATACGATACTCGGCGGCGAGCCCAGAGGGGCCGCGAGAGGGGGCAGGCCCTCTTCGAAGGCGGCGGGCCTTCTGAGAAGCCCCGCGGCCTTCTGAGGAGGCCTGCCCCCTCCCATTTCCCACATATGGGCCCGCCGCCGATCAGAATGCGCATCCAGGGGTCGAGAAAGCACGACCTGGAGCCCACGCGGGCAGTCGTCGGCCTTCTGAGGAGGCACCCCCCCCTCTCATCTCTCCACGGGGCCCGCCGCCGATCGAGTGCGCATCCAGGGTTCAAGAGAATCCTGCTCTGGAGGCCTCCTAGATGGGGTCGGAGTACAGTCGAGGCGTTGACCTAAGGAACCCTAAATAAGGAACGAGGCCTCTATGCTGTATGAGCTAAACTTCGACTTCGTATCGAAACCATAAGGCAAATCTAAGGCAAACTGCGAAACTGTTAAGGAACACGGAGCCCCTCCCCAACGAAAAGGGTTATTTCTTCAGGGCCCCGACTGTAGATGGGGTCGGAGGATCGCGCCGCATCGCCAATACATCGGCGATACATCGCCGATGCATCGGCGATGCATCGGCGACGCATCGGCGACGCATCGGCGACGCCAGCGTGGAGACTATCAGGCTCCACACCGAGCCGCATCGCCGATGCATCGACGATACGGCGCGACCCTCCGACCCCATCTACTCGGACCCCATCTAGGAGGCCTGGATATTTGGAGTCCACGCGGGCAATCGTATTGATTCACCGGGCAACCCTTCAATCTCAAAACACGACCTGGTCGCTCCCAGAGCCACGATCCACTGCAAAACGCTGTGAACACTCGACATGATGGCAACGATCGCTCCCACGGCTGCCATCCACCATAATACAAAATGGATCCCCAAGGCCACGATCCACTGCGAAATATTTCGAGCCCTCACTCCAGTAGCTGAGTGATCCTCCGAAAATTGTGGCGGGCTCCCGCCCCCAATACTCAACAATCGCTCGCCATGCTATTGTGAGCCGGCCTTGCGGCCACTGCAAAAATGCGAGCGCGATAGGCCCAGGTTGGTCCCAAGACGGCCCAAAAAGCGCCCAAGACGCTCCAGGAGAGACCCAAGAGGACTTCTAGAGGCCCCAAATACGCAAAAAAAACATGAATGTGCTTGGGTTTTCTGACGATGTTGGCGGTACTGCCTTTTCGAGCTGCCGACTGCCCAGGACGGCACAAGAGGCACCAAGATTGCTCCAAGACGGCCCATAAAGCCTCCAAGAGGACACCTCACTGGCCCAAGATGGCCATGGACGGCCCAAAGGGGCCTCCAAGACGGCCCCAAGACGGGGCCCAAGAGGGGGCCCAGAGGGGGAACTCGAACGGACATTTCGAGCTGCTCTCGGTCCGACGAGGCGCCCTGGAAGCCCCCAGAGGCCCCCAAGAGCCCCCAAGAGCCCCAAGAGGCCCCCAAAAGAGGCTCCCAAGACCCCCAACAGGGCCCAAGGGAGCCCCAAGAGGCCCCCAAGAAGCCCCAAATAGGCCCCCCAGAGGGCTCAAAACTGCTACCCGGAGGCTCCCGGGAGCCCTCCGAAGAGACCCCAAGAAGCTTCCTTGAGGACTCTGACCCACAACCCAGGTACGTCTCGAAACTCTGCTAGAGCTCTCTTGAGCCATCTTGGCGCCCTCTGAGGCAGTCGATCGGCTCTCTTCGAAGGAGTGCGAGCAACATCTCAAAAAATCTCCTCGAGGACATTCCTGCCTGCCCTACCGTTCCCCCTGGGCACGAGCACACCACAACGCAGCCAGTGATGCGAAATGGGCGGGCGGAATGAGCGAAGCGACCAAATAATGGAACCAGTCACCCCCGCCCCAAGGCTCCGACCAAGCTGTGGGGACCCCACAGGTTATGTAATGGGTCGAGAAGCCACTACCCTACCACAGCAATCAGCACTGATAGATGACCCCTGCCCATTGCCCAAAGGACAGAAAAGAAGAGTGAAGGATCCAAAGAGAGAGGGAGCCCTGAGAGAGAACCCAGCGGGACCCGGCCGAACTGGTTCTTCGTGACGTATCCGCGGTGGGCCTTGTCGAGGTCCTTGCCCCGTGGGCCGTGGGGGCGGCCGCTTGCGGCGGTCTTCGGCAATCGAGCACCGGGCAATGAAGGCAAAACGGATGGGAGAGTTCGGGATCCAAACATCGTCATCAGCATCATCATCATCACCATCATTATCATCATCAGCATCACCATCATGAGCATCAGCATCAGCATCATCATCATCAGCATCATCGTCATCACCAACTGTATCAGAATCATAACCATCCATACCACCATGATTACTATTATCATCATCACCACCACCACCACCACCATCATCATCATCATCATCATCCTCCTCCTCCTCCCCCTCCTCCTCCTCCTCCTCCTCCTCCTCATTCATCATCATCATCATCATCATCATCATCATCATCATCATCATCATCATCATCATCATCATCATCATCATCATCATCATCATCATCATCATCATCATCATCATCATCATCATCATCATCATCATCATCATCATCATCATCATCATCATCATCATCATCATCATCATCATCATCATCATCATCATCATCATCATCATCATCATCATCATCATCATCTTCATCTTCATCTTCATCATCATCATCATCATCGTCACCATCATAGTCATCATCATCATGATCAGCAACATTGTCAGCAACAGCAGCACCAGCATCATCAACATCATAATCATCATCAGTGGCCTCAGAGTCGCTCTCTGCATCCCAATAATCATCATACTAATCATCAGGATCACGATCATCATCAGCATCATCAGCACCATCATCATCATCATCACCACCATCATCATCATCATCATCATCATCATGATCAGCATCATAATCATCGGCATCAGCATCAGCATCAGCATCATCATCATCATCGGCATCAGCATCAACACCAGCAAAACAGCATCATTACCATCATGCTACGCATGCCCGTGCCAATGATCAAGCCAATGCTCATCCTCATGACAATCAGCAGCATCATCATCAATATCAACACCATCGACACATTAATCGTCATACACATCATCCTCACCATCATCGCCATCATCATCAGCAGTATCGTCATCATCGTCATCAGCATCATCGTCATTATCATCATCAGCAGCATCGTCATCATCATCACCATCAACAGCAACATCAGCATCAGCATCAGCATCAGCCTCCGCATCAGCATCATCACAGTCATCAACATTCTCTACATCATGGCCATTGTCATCGTTCAGATCAGCATCCTCATCATCTTTATCATCATGATCATGGTCACGCCCATGCCCATGCCCATGGTCATGATCATGCCCATCATGATCATCAACATTAGCATCCTCATCCTCATCCTCAACATCACCATCATCATCATCATCATCATCATCATCATAATCATCATTACCAGCATTCTCATCATCATCATCATCAGCATCACCATCACCCCCGTCATCATTATCATCCAAATCCCGTTCATCCTCCTCCGTCTTCGCCTCTTCCTCCTCCTGATCATCATCATCATCATCATCATCATCATTATCATCATTATCATCACCATCATCAGCATCATCATCATCACCGTCATCATCATCATCATCATCATCATCATCATCCTCAACCTTATCCTCGACTCCCCCTCCTCCTGCTAGTCCTTGTCCTCATGTTCGTTCTCCTCCTCCTCATTTACCACGTCCTCCTCTTCCTCCGCCTCTTCTTTCTCTTCTTCCTCGTCCTCCTCGTCATCCTCATCATCGTCATCACCACCACCAAAATCATCATCAGCATCAGCATCATCATCATCATCAGCATCCTCATCAGCATCATCCTGCTCATCCTCATCAGCATCATCATCAGCAGCATCATCACCAGCACCATCATAATCATTATCATCATCATCATCATCATCATCATCATCATCATCATCATCATCTTCAGCATCCTCATCATCATCAGCATCCTCATCAGCATCATCATCAGCAGCATCATCACCGGCATCATAATAATCATCATCGTCATCACCATCGTCCTTCATCACTCATCATCATTATCATAAGCATCGTTGTCGTCGTCAGCATCAGCATCATCAGCAGCAGCATCATATTCATCGTCATCATCATCATCAACCTCACCCTCCTAGGCTCCTCCTCGTCGCCCTCCCTCCCTCCTCCGTCTTTTCCTCGTTCTAGTCGTCGTCCTCGTCTCCTCCTCCTCGTCCTCCTCCTCATCATCAGCATCAGCATCATCGTCATCGTCATCATCATTGTCATTCATCACTCATCATCATCGTCCTTCATCACTCATCATCATCATCAGCATCAGCATCCGCATTATCATCGTCATCAGCATCCTCATCAACATCATCACCACCAGCATCATCATCGCCGTCATCCTCATCATCATCATCATCATCCTCATCATCACCATCATCATCAGCATCATCAGAATCAGCATCAGCATCATCATCACCAGCATCATCATCAGAATCATCATTATCAGTATCATCATAATCATCAGCATCAGCATCAGCATCACGAGCATCACCCCTTCAATCATCATCAGCATCCGCATCATCGTCATCATCACCATGCTTATCGGCATCGCCATCATATTTGCCCTCGGCATCACCATTACCATTATGATTGTTAGCATCATCATAACCAGCATCAGCATCATCAGTATCATCATCACCATCACCTTCACCATGGCCACCGCCATCACAATCCTTATCCTCATAATCATCCTCTTCTTTATCCTCATCATCCTCATCATCATGCTCTTGTTCTCATTCCCATGCTCGTGCTCATGCTCATGATCATGCCCATCATCATCTGCAGCCGAAGTATTATCATCACCCTCATCATCCTCCACTTCCTCTTCCTCTTGCTCTTCCTCCTCTTCTTATTCCTCTTCCCCTTCCTCCTCCTCCTCTTCCTCCTCATCCTCATCACCATCATCAGCATCAGCCTCATCATCATCATCATCATCATCATCATCATCATCATCATCAGCATCAGCATCAGCATCAGCATCATCATCATCATCATCATCATCATCATCATCATCATCACCATCTCAATCATCATCGTAATCATCACCCGCGTCCTCGTCCCCGTCCTCGTCCTCCTCCTCCTCCTCCTCCTCGTCTTTGTCCTCGTCCTCGTCCTCCTCATCATCCTGATCATCCTCATCGGCCTTGTCCTCGACTCCCCTTCCTCCTGCTCGTCCTTGTCCTCGTGTTCGTTCTCCTCCTCCTCCTCCTCCTCCTCATTTACCACGTCCTCCTCTTCCTCCGCCTCCTCTTCCTCTTCCTCCTCGTCCTCCTCGTCCTCCACATCATCGTCATCACCACCACCAAAATCATCATCATCATCATCATCATCATCATCATCATCATCATCATCATCATCATCATCGTCGTCGTCATCATCATCATCGTCATCATCATCAGCATCATCATCAGCATCATCATCATCATCATCATCATCATCATCATCATCATCATCATCGGCATCCTCATCATCAGGAGCAGCATCATCAGCATCAGCATATCATCAGCATCCTCATCAGCATCATCATCATCAGCAGCATCATCACCAGCATCATCAGAATCATCATCAGCAGCAGCAGCATCGTCATCAGCATCATCATCGTAATCAGCATCATCGTCATCATCCTTATCATAAGCATCGTTGTCGTCATCAGCATCAGCATCATCAGCAGCAGCATCATATTCATCATCATCAACCTCGCCCTCCTCCTCGTCGCCTTCCCTCCCTCCTCCGTCTTCTCCTCGTTCTGGTCGTCCTCGTCCCCTCCTCCTCCTCCTCATCATCATCAGTATCATCGTCATCGTCATCATCATCGTCCTTCAACACTCATCATCATCATCATCATCAGCAGCATCAGCATCAGCATCATCACCACCAGCATCATCATCATCATCATCATCACCGTCATCAGCATCATCATCATCACCGTCATCAGCATCATCATCATCACCATCACCATCACCATCAGCATCATCATCAGCAGCATAATCATAATCAGCATCAGCATCATCATCAACGTCATCATCATCATAATCATCATTATCAGTAGCATCAGAATCATCAGCATCAGCATCAGCATCACCAACATCACCCCTTCAATCATCAGCATCATCATCATCACCATGATCAGCAGCAGCAGCACCACCAGCAGAAAGATCTCAAAGTGGTCAAGAGTCAGTGGAGTGACGATTGCCCGATCTGGACGGCTAAGAGGCTGCAGGATTGCAATCATGAGCGGCCTCCTCTTCGCATGTGCCAGAATGAGAAGGAGCACGACACGACAAGGAGGTGGCTGGATGCCCTGGGGGGTGCAGAGCGCTCGGCCACCATCATCGTTTTCGCTGTGCAGCGCATCCTGGAGGGCTCGTCCTTCGGTGATGTGCCGGTGGGGGCCCCCCGGGGCAGAGGTACAGCGACGCCGAGAGCCGGGCGCCGCCCCCGCCCAGGAAGAAGGGCCTCCCCGACGGCGTGCAGGACGGCGTGCCTCTTTCAAGGGGTCCCTCGAGACGGTGCAGGTGAGGCTGACGGTTGCGAGCGACTGCTCAGCAGATGATCTCTTCACGCGTGCTGCCCAGAGGCCAGTGGCACTGGCGGCACTCATCTGCAGCGCGGATCTTCAGGAGTTGGTGCTGAAGGTCAAGGGTGCGCTCAATCACGAGAGTGAGACTACGTGCTTGCTCATCCTCAAGAAGTCCTCCCTGGAGAATTTCATGCAGTTCGAGCTCCCGAAGGGTATGTTCGTGAATCTCCAGGGCTCGAAGCTGGCCCTGCGCTGGTCCAAGAAGCGGGAGGAAGAGCTGGCTGAAGCATACATTACACGTGTGATGACGAGTGCGAAGACAGTGGCTGGGCGACCTTGTTACCGCCCATCAGAAGACGCGTCCTTGGGAGTACTTTCGGACAAAGCACTGACCACGGACATTCTCCCACGATGGTGTGCACTGAATACTCCAGATGCTTGGGTTGGTCCTGAGGATTTGGAGGAGTGGGCCAAGAAGAGAGGTTTCACGAATATAAGCAAGGTACACCGTGCTGGACGGCATCGTCGGTTCTTCAGATCTGACCTGGCCGCGGGTCGCACGGATGCCGACGCCATTTACACTCTTTCCAGTGGTATCTCAGTATCGCTGGCATACAACAACGCGGGTGACAAGAAGAAGGCTCCGACGTCCAAGCCCGCCTCATCTTGGGGGGCTGCGCAGCCTCCCTTCTCACCGCCCGCTGGCTTACGAACAGGCGGCCCCCGAGGGTGCAGAAGGAGGAGGCGGAGGAGGAGGCTAGCCCCAGTCCCCACCCCAACAGGCGAAAGCAGGAGAAGGGGATCCACTGCAGGTTCCCTGGCGCCCAGGGGACGTTCAGCAATGGCACCATCAAATCCTGATTGAGAAGGCGGGGGCCTGACAACATGCCGGTGGACGAATGGGCCGCTAGCGCTTGCCAACATACGTGTCACCAGTTCTGTCGCCGCGATGGTCTGCGACGCTTCCTCTTGAGGGGTGCGTCGACGGGGTTGACCAAGACGGGGATCCCTGATGCGCATTCGGGCGCGATCGGGCCTCCGCGTCGAGTTGAATTCTGATCATTCGAGCGCCCGCGCGTGCTGTGCTCATTCGTTCGTAGAGCCCCCTGTCGCTGAAGTAGTAGGATGCCTGCGCGTGAACCAGTGTCCAGCATCCCCAAGCCGCGTTCTTTGAGCTACAGGGCAGTTTTTAATACATAGGGTTTGTCTTTAATATAGGATTTTTAATACATGCCAAATGTATGGATAAATGTATGCATGAACTCATCGTTGTATACTAAATCCCTGCATTTTTGATACATGATCCGCACGCGGAGCATGTACTAGAAACGGCACTGTAGGCTGGCTCCTAGAAGTGCTCGCGCGCTCTCCTGCTTCTGATCCGCCTGCACATCTGGCGCCGTCTAGCTTTTCGCGACCGTCGTCAGCGTCATCCTCCCCCGAATCCACGTGATCCTCCTTCTCGCCCTCGCCCTCCCGCTTCCACTACACCTCATACTCCTCCTCATACCCCTTCTCTCTCCATCCCGCTCCTCCTCCTCCTCCTCCTCACTCCTCCTCCTCCTCCTCCTCCTCCTCCTCCTCCTCCTCCTCCTCCTCCTCCTCCTCCTCCTCCTCCGCATCTGCCTCCGCCTCCTCCGATCTATTTATCCTCCCTCTCCTCCGCTTTTTCTTTCTCCCCCGCGTTTTCCCCGAAGGGTTTCCACAACGGCTGGGGGAAAACATGGTCCGATAGCTTGGCAGAGCTCTGGCCATGACACTCGGCCACATGGGCGATTCCACGAGGCAGGGGGCGGCCGTGATTCGTCGCAGGCGCCTTCGATTGTTCTTAATCAAATAGTGCGCGTGCATCGGGATGAGGGGGGTCGATAATGTGACTCCCTTGGATGGTATGAGTTCAAGTTTCAAATGAGCGATGAGGCAGAATCACAATTGAATTGCACTATCCAAGAGGGGGGAAGCGATAATTCTGGGGGCATGGATCCGAATTCCGTTTTCAGTGCAAGTGAACATATGTAGTAGAGTGAACATGTGCTGTGCAATCGATGTCGTGCAACACAGGTTGTGCAATCGATGTGGGGCGGCGAGGAGGCGGCGACGCCTGCAACGTAGCCGCCAGAGCGGCAGACAGGCCCACAGACGACGGGCGGCGACAAGGCGGCGACGGGGCGGTGACGGCGGCAACGAGAGCAGCGACATGCAGACAGACCCAGGCGACGGGCGGCGACGAGGGGGGGCGACGAGGCGGCGATCGGGGCGGCGACGCCGGAGACGTAGCCCAGAGCGGTGGACATCCAAGGCGACGGGCGGCGACAAGGCGGCGACGAGGCGGCGACGGCGGCAACGTAGCCGCCAGAGCGGCAGAGAGGCCGCAGGCCTGGTTCCTCAGAGCAGAAGGAAGAAGCCCTAAGTGCAAGCACTCTTTGTAGAATGTGGACGCAGCCAGACATGAAACAGGCACACGCCGCGGCAGGGGGGGGTCATCGGAGGGGGCGGGTCCCCACCGACAGTGGGCCTGTCTGCACCGACCAGTGAGAGACCCTTGAGGCAAGTCTGGAACGTGCAGAGGAACAAAAAATTGAATAAACATGATGTCTCGGATTTCTGCGCGCCGCCTGGCGCACTCCGCGCGCCAGGGAGAGGGGCTCCAGCGCCGATCCAAGAAATCCAAGCGGAACCCCGAGAAATCATATGTACTATGCCGCTGCTTCTTTTTCAAGCGTCCCGGATTGGCGGCGACCCCGGGGGGGAAGTGAGAGGAGGCAGGCATTCTCAGAAGGCGGAGAGGCGGCGGGACTTCACAGAAGCCTCCGGCCTCCCGAGAAGCCGCTCCCGTCTTCGCAGAAGGCTCGGAATCACTTCTCCTCGCGGGCCTCCTGGGAAGGCACGCCCCGTCTGCATTCCCAGACATCCAGCTGCTCCAATTTGTTTCGATGCGCGGGCCCCGGAGGTCCGGACCACTTCCCGGGGACCGGTTTTTCGTCCTGAATCGTTTCTGACGCTCCCGAGGCCCCGCGAGGGCCCCCGGAGGCCGAAAACTGGCAAAATCCCGCCGCTCCAATCTTTTTGGAGCGTCGGACCTCAGGGTTCCTCTGGGCTCGCCGCCCATCTTCGATTGCAAGCGGAGGCAGGGCCCACCCCGCGGTGCGAGCGCGACGCCCGGCGTCCTGGAAGCAGGGCTTCATCGAGAGGCCGCGCGTCCTGGCGGAGAGGCGGGCACCGGGGAACAGGTGGGCGCACTGTGCGCCACGACCTAGTTCCCTTAGGAACTCTACGAGGTACTTGTGGGGTTCAAAAACCAGATAGTGGCCTCCTCCTCCTCCTCCTCCTCCTCCTCCTCCTCCTCCTCCATCACCACCTCCACCACCACCTCCTCCTCCTCCTCCTCCTCCTCCTCCTCCTCCTCCTCCTCCTCCTCCTCATCATCATCATCATCATCATCATCATCATCATCATCATCATCTTCATCATCATCATCATCATCATCATCATCAT